GCAAGTTTAGAAGTGCAGCTTAATCTATCTAGGTATAATGATTTTTTCAGACTATGAAAATGAAGAGTAACAGTCATTTAAATTTTCCCTACAGGCATTAGAGTCTAAGTAAAATATTTGCAGCATGAAGCAATGCATTAACATTGGGTAAGTAGCACAGGCACACATAACAATGCAGCACAACTGATTTTACCTAAATGCTACCTCTATCTTCAAATACACCAAATATATGGATGAAGGATTAAAATTAGAGCTGTTTTACCTGCCAAAAGTATGTGTATTTCTGTGCATTCAGTCCTAAAATTTACACAATTCTGCCACACAACACAGCCCTGCCTGAAGAGGAGGGAAGCTGAGTTTTCTCTGCTGAAGTTTTATTTTCACTTACGGGTCTCCTCTCTACCCACACTCTGTGACTAGAAAGTGAAAGGGGAAGCAGAAGATATGTAAGCTCATGAGTCACTTTGCTCTCGCCTACTATGAACATGTTCCTTGTATTGCAACACACTTGAATGACACCTTATGCACTCTCTCTCTCCCACTCTGTGCTCAGGGGTCTGCATAAAATACATAATTAGTGCATCTTCAGTTTGAATTGTGGATGTATTCATGATTGCAAAATTGCATTATTTGTATATTTCATATGTTTCTATATATCACACGTCCCTCTGAGGAAGCCCCTGTGTCTTTCGGGGAAGAAACGCTTTAGGGATAACGTGTATCGAGCTCTCCTTGAATGCCCATCAACTACTCTGCTGACAGCGCCGGTTGTTTGGAGTTTTTTTCAAAATAATAGCTACGAATAAATTCAGCTACACCACAATAGAAGTGGATTCGGCAGCCTGTTTTGCATACTGAGTGTACCCTGCTTGTCCCTGTTGAGCGAACGCTGGCAGATCTTTGACCCGCTACGGGAGGGATAGACGAGCTACGGAAAAGCTGACAGACCCCCGCCCCGCCACGTGAGTGATATACTATTCTGGAGTTCCATTCATTTGCTTTTCCCAGTGCGGCCGCACGTGTGGAATAAAAGCCTTTCATCTTCATCACGGAATACACCAGTTGTCACCACTTGGTGGGCGGAAGCCAGTATAGAGGATCAGCAACAGCCCCTGAAGTGTGCATACAACACTATAAGGATGCGATCCTCTGGAATTCAATAAAGGACCGTCGAGGCAAATTCTGTGGACAAACTAATTACCCACTCGATATCATCCTTCTCAGGAACTGCCTTATCATGCAATTTCATCATAAGTGAGTACATCTCTTTTTTTGATACTCCTACATCCATTTTTTTCTTTCTTCAAACACAGCGCTTGTGTCAAAAAATCCGTGACTCTTCGACCACTTTGGTGGCCATTACATTATTATCAGCACTTTTGACACTTTGGGCCATATCAGGGAGGCTTGGTTTCATTTTAATTGATTTTAGATGTCTTTGTTATTTGGTGTTTCTATATCTGTTATTACTCTTTAAATTCTTTTTTCATCAAATTTTGATACAAATATATAGCCTGTTTTTTACTTATAGACAGCTCCGAATATGGGATTTCTTTAATTAAGGGGAACTCTGCTTGTTTTATAGTTTCTATATATTACTCTCAATTGACTGGAAACGGTGTCTGGCAACTATTCCTAATGACCCCAATCTTTGAAAAGTACACACATATTTAGTGCAAAAGAAGCATGCATAATTATTTGGACACGCATGTGTATGCTGCTACATACATGCAGTATCTACATCTTTATGCATGGCTAGGGCAGAAGCATTTTCAGCCTCAATGCCATTTAAAGGAGCAATGTAAATATTGCCTCAATTGATGGCAAAATGTCTCACCTTTACCCCCTAACAGCTATTTTTTAAATTACAGGAATTTATATAGCACTGAAAATGTATGCAGCGCTTCACATAGTTGCACATTCACATCAGTCCCTGCCCTCAAGCAGCTTACAATATAAGGTCCCTATCTCACATGCATACATATGAGGGCCAATTTAGATTAGCTACAACTACATTGCTCATATAAATACTGCGGATACATTGCAAATATTTAGATTTTGCTTTTTATTAAATCCTGCCCATTTTTAAAAATTGTCCATAATTGTCCTTACAGATAAGAGGTGGTAAGGCAAAGGAAGAACTTTGTCTTGTATCTGCTATTTATAGGGTGTGGCCTTGCCTCAGGAATAGCCCTGCCTGAATTGCAAGCATTTAAATGCAATCACCATAAATATTTTGAAGAACATGCACATACTTTTTGAACTAATGCACAGCACAAAGGTATAAGACTACTGGGGGTTAGCAGTTTATCACAGCTTGTACTCGGCCATTTAAAATTATTCTGTTGTCAAAGACAAATTATAGTAATAACAGTTAATGCTAATAGTATCAGATCAAATGTCTAGCAATGGCAAAATCACTACAACATGAACACACTAGCAAGGGACTTCATGTGCCGGCATGTAACTTCAGCTTTTTAGGGGTTCCCTCTGCATTATAGAAAAACAAAAGAAATACTGAAGTTGAACTAAACAAAACAAATTGCTGCATCACTTAGTTACAAGTGTATCTGCACTTTCAGTTTATCTCTTGCCCCCCCTGCAAAATCCTAGAAACACATGTTGAGCATGCCAGTGAAGTCCACCTAATGCAGCTTCCTATTATGGTGCAGCAACAATACTGCACTGCTTCTAAACATGTTGCCACTAACATGTAAACTATGCCTGCATTGTACTAATTAGCATTGTCACTGTTGATTCACAGGCCAGCACCTTGTCATTTAAGACCTGACCACACCTAGTTCTGCCTACTGCTTTCTGGACTGGGAGCACTGTCTTCATGACTAAAACCCTCCCACTGTGTGCCACAGTGTCTGGGAGGGAAGAGTGTGAGAAACAAATAAAGAAGGATTTGGTTCAGTCAGGGAAGGCAAGCAAAACTATTTGTTTACTTTGTGATACTTGTGTATAACATAGTAATTCATTGTGGTACTTTTTGTTATATAGTCATACAAGAGTCCTTAGCTGTAATTTAAGAGGAGGAGGTGCTTGGTATTCCATTACAGTGGCAGTAACATTGCCTTTTGTACTGGTACACTTAAAGCAAGAGCATATGACGGGGTGTTTCTCCTTAAATTATAAATAGTACCTCAGATGATATACTTCATACTACAGCTATAGCAATAGCTCTAATTTCCTTCTGTTTCAGCTTTGAACAAATGATGATCCTGCAATGATTAACCACACACAGAAGCAATTTGTGCCAGCAGCCACTCATAAATCAAGTAGAGTCAATATACCAATATGATTAGAACGCAGACTATAAATAAGTCATATATTTAAAGTAATATCCAGCATAGAAATGCCTGAACATAGATTTACAAATGTTTCAATCAAATGTGCCTTCTGTTAACATATAATATCACAGTATACCAGGAACAGATTGCAACTTCACAGGAAGCAGAAATATTATCGGTATACAAACTTTTCACAAAACACTGTTAGTTTTGTAAATTTACATTAACGTACATCTAACGCTAAATTTTTATTTGTCGTTTTGGTTAAAGTAGGGAATAGATAAAACCCTGTTTTACTAATTTTTTAGATTTTACCATCACTTCCTGTCCTGTATACACAGCAGGAGGTGAGAAGAAACCTCTCTGAAGTATGAAAAATTATCTTATAGAAGAGATAGTTATATAGTTGTTACTGGAACATGTGCACAGATTGGAAGATTTCACTTCTTTTTCTAATCTGGTGATAGCTCAAAATTTGGGATTTTCCTTAATTTTCATTCCTGTCACAGTAGTCACCGGACAAATAGAGAGTCTAAATCTAAAGCAACAACCCATGTAAGCATAAATTATTGTTGAATACATACCACTACAAAGAAAATTCTTACTGGTTACATTGTGTACTGCATCTTGCATGTGGCATTTTTTGTATCAAAATAATCTCATGGGTAATCCACCTACTGTCCAAGCTGACTGTTCTGCCTTCTCAGTTACCAGTGGTGAGTCCTATAGCACATTACTGCTCTCGCAAAGGGTAGTGAGGCAGTGACATTGTCATATCCACTAGTAATCCCAAAGGCAGTTTGCTTCCTATGACCTCAAATGTTTTTGTATGCTACACATTCTTCTATGTGATTTTCATTAGACTATGTTTATCCTAGTTTTTAAAGAGCATATGCATAGTGTTTGGAGATGATGATACTGATTAGCAAATCAGACAAATCACAGACCTTGTTGATCAGCTAAATACTGAGAGGCACTGACTGGTTTCTCAAATACACATGGTAAGTGGACTAGAGGGTATGGCTGACAAGGAGAAAACAATATTTTTATTTTCTCAGAAGCTTGATATGTTCTGTTCTGTGTCCTGGAGCCCAGAGGCTTTGTAGAGCTTTGAGTGGCATAAAGCCTCCATTGTTAGGTTCACATCTAACCTGTTAACCAGACCTCTTCATTAGTCTCAATTCTACACAAGCCTTTATATATGTGAGCTGACTGATGCTCAGGGCTCAGACTCTAGCTGGTTCTGCTATGGGAGTAGCCACTGTGTGAAAATGCTGACAGAACACTAAAAGGTAGGTGTTGCCTGTTTGTTATTGGGAACTCATTAGGGGACACCCTGTTAGTTAGAACCTGACCTAAGTTCAATTAGTAGCTTGGACAAGCAGATGTTTTGTGTATATCTTATGCTGTAGACTTGTTGCACAAAGTCCTTCTGCAATGGAACCAGGTTTGTTTGTTGCCTTGCTGAGCAGAAGAGCACGACAAACCTGCTTGAATTGTTCTTGGGTGCTGCTGTGTCGTGCAGGGTTCACTGCTGCCAATATCAGTTGAGCCTGTCCCCCTCCAATAGAGATTTAAATATGAAACAAAAACTATTGTGATATAGCAGTTCACCTGGTTTGTAAGTCAATATACTTATCCCAATAACATGTTCTGCTTTTGCACAATGAACAGGTGAATGTAACATGAGGAGCATAAAGGTACTTACCGAGAATTTATAAATCTGCTGACGTTCACGGTCAACTGGCTGAAGCAGCGTGAGATGGCGAGTAATTCCTGATGAGGTTACGGCGAACACTGTACTGTAGTCTGTTAAATACAGATAGAGCTGGGGATCTTTTGTCTTGAAGAGAAAACAAAACATATTTTGGGTAATTACAACTACAGCTCATTACTTAGATTGGAATTATGCATATATAAAGTGTATCCAAACCCAAGAACACACAAAGGGTTGTGAACAAAGTAGAGTTGAAACAGTGGAGTTGTGCTTCTTTTTTGGGACACCTTGGGGTTGATTTACTAACCTTATAAACACACCACGAACATGTATACACCTCTGTAGTGTGTTCCCTCCCAGCATGATCTATGGGTGGAATCTAAACACCTTTGTAGTGTGTACACACCCAGCAGGTGTGTTGTGCAAAGCCCTGCATGAATTTGCAAGGTGGTGTTGTGTAAATTAGCTCTATGTTGTGTTGCTTGTGTTGATGAATGCAGGAATGTAAATGCATGAGCTAACCATTTTTGTCTAAACTGTGAAGCAGCATTATATATGCATCATGTGCATGATTTTTCCATATATGGCATTAGTGGAAATATGTTTTTAGAGACTTTTTGGTTGATAAATACGTTTTGCTGTGTAAAAATCACACGCACATAGTGCGTGCGTGTGTTTAGGTTAGTGAATTACCCCCCTTGAGTGCTTAGTGTTGTCTTTGGAATATGTGTTTTCTCTGTGCCAGTATTTAATTATTTTTTTTTATAATTTTATGTAACTTTTTTTCTCTCTCTGGTTTGCACTTCTCTGGTTATGGGGAGGGGTTAATTGATCACAGGTGTCTCTTAAAGCAGTAATATAAGCAAGTGCTAAAATCACACTGCACTCGCCCACAGAGGCCTCTGAATAAAGTGGCTGGAACTAAGTGGAGTTTAAACACTGGAGTTTAAAAAACTGGAGTTTAACCTGTAAGTAACATCTTAAACTTCCTGTAAATAATATATGCTAGTATGGGTCAGTGCACATTGTGCTACATGTAAACACCAATGGAGCCACAGCTCCAGGTTGAATATCACTGTGAGAGATGTGAGAAGGTTGTTCTCCTGGAGGCTCACATTAGAGATCTGGAATAGAAAATTGCAACACTGAGGAGACTCGACAACTTAAAGTTTATCACTGAGTCTACTGCTCACTGATCAGGCATTTAATGGGGTTGATCGGGCAGGAAGCTGGGCTAATGTAACTAGAGGGAGTGGCAGGGGCTCATGGAAGGCCAGTCCTGTGTTTGAGCACCCAAACAAATTTGCTAAGTTGGGTGAAGATGTGAGGGTGGCAAACACAGATGTTGCTGCTACCCCTAACAGCTGAGAGAGCAACCCATGTAGTCTGGGTGTTGAGGGTAATGCAGGAAAGCCTAGACATTTGGTGGTTGTAGGGGATTCTATAATTCAGAGGACCAAGAGAAAAGTGTATCTCCTGGATGACCTCAACTGAATGGTTTGCTATCTCCCTGGGTCCAGGATTCAGCATGTGGTGGACTGGGTGGAAAAATTACTGGGAGGGGCTGAGCATGACCCAGTTGCCTTGTCAAAATCTTCGTCTCAGTCTTCTTATGGGTTCTGAGTGTTTGGCCACTTGATTGGCCAGGGCCCTCAATGACGTAACTCCCACATATTCAAATTGAAGTTACTTCATCTCAGCAAGAATTCTGCTGAGTCTATACATGGAGCTGTGTATGAGCTGCTAGGTCTACTGAAAAATTGAAAATGCTGACAGGCAGGTAGAAGTTTCTGTAGCTGAAGATAATTCTACAGTTTTCTGTCATACAAAACCTGCCTGACAGCAATAATTAAAAAAAGACTTCCACTTTAAAAAGCATTATCAGATAACCAATTGCAAATAAGCTGCATTCTGCATGCAATGCTATTAACTTGACTAGCATTCCAAAAACCTATAGGACACTGATTGTATGATTATACAGTTGCTTCTCCATAGCCCAAATAAAAAGTTTTCAAAAAGTTCTGCTGGACAATACTTTATATTGCCATCAGCATCTAGGCAAAAAACATTAACAGTAAGTTCAGTTTGTGGGATGTAATGCATGCAACTAAATAGAATAGGTGAATCCAGAGGTCGATGATTCAATCTACTGTGACAATTCATGTACAGGACAAACTGGACTTCTATCAGGGCAGGCAGAATCTGTATGTCATGTATGGTGATAAATGATTGAATATGATCAATGTGACAACTGAGCACAGAGTCCATATGCAATAAAAATGGTAATTAAAATGTTGAATATTGGTTGATAAGCTGGCTTACATATGTTTACATGTAACATATATTTATTTATTACAGCTTAAATTAAATTTTGACTGCATTGTGTGCCATAGATGAGATAATCAAGTGAGTTTAGGGAACTTTGAGCTGCCCATTAAACCTGGACCAGATTCAAATGCTTTGTTTTACAGTGCAGGTTAGATAAAGATCTAGAACACCTGGTTGTTGCTAGGAATAGACAACTGTCATTTTTCCTCTGCTCTAGTTTTCATAAACAAGCTTGATTGAGCAAGGATGTAAGAGACAAATACTAGAAATTGGAGGACTGTAAAACACTGAGTGATCTATTCAATCACATATCCTTTTGTTTAGTATTAAAAGTATGCTGAATCAATACTCTGTCCTTTGGTGTTTAAAATCAATTATTGTTTGGAGGTCTCTGAGATATATTTTTTAAATTATGGGGATATATTGTTCTTATATATTAACTGGCTCCATTTAATCAGTAAACCAAGAGCTTTCTAATTTCACCACTTCATATATTGCCAACCACCCAATTAATTTTAATGAATTGATTTTTGAGACAAGAAGCTGGTAGTGTATTTGACAAACTTCCAGTAGATGAGTACTTAAAATTTTGCTTTGACTCTCTGTTAACTAATGATCACTGAAGCTGTAATCAAGATGACAGCATTTGAGATCTATTAAGTAATGCAATGATACAAAATTGCATGGCAAAAAAAGGTTTTAATGTTTTGCTTGTGCCCAATAGTTTACAAAAATACATAATTATGTTAATTACTCTACTATACAGCAATGACATGAGAATATTTTTCCTGTTTGCACACAACATCTTCATTTTCTCTATCATGATTTAGAAAACTAGGTAAATATAATTTTAAAATGCCATTTGAATATAGCTTAACTCATGATAATTAAAAAAGGATTCATGTTTTCCACTATATTTAGCATATTTGGATTATATGTTTTTCAATATATTCTGAACTTTTTGGGGCCTATTTATAAAGATATATTTTTTATTAAATTATACATTTTATAAAAAGAACCTGCCTGGCACATGAGACTGCAATCTGGAATCACCATGGCAAGGATCCAACTTATAATAGCCTGTCACTTTAATATCATCAAACATTTTCTTCAGCATTGTAGATGTGGCTTAAGAAGGATCTTCCACACAATACTACATCTCTCTGTATATTGGGTTTCATGTTAAATATGCTGTTACAGCCAGTGATGAGACTGGGAACCTGGGAGTAGTCACATATTCAAAATTATCTGCAAGGTTAAACCCATGCCTCTGCCAAGAAAAATCCAAATTATTATTATTTTTTTGCTTTTCACAGATTTCACAGATTTATAAGCAATGGTTAATAGATAGAGAGCGTGCAGTACCCTATCACTAGTTCACCTGAAGGACGATGTCTACTGTGCACTGGGGAGCACAGGCTGCAGGACAGGACACAATAGTAACGTAGTGGCGCATAAAAGAAATCTTAACATCTGGCTGGATGACTAGGTAACTGACACATCTGGGATACCAGTGGTGGTTCAAAACAGCCAGTATTTTGCTTGCCCCTGCCAGAAAGGTAAGTATTAAAATGTATTTTTTTACAGACTGATAATTGAACTTTTTTATTGTAGGAACAGGGTTGCTTCAGAGACACTAAAAGGTTTGTTTATAAACTGTTCACACACCAAACAGCTCTGCACATTTTCAATGCAATATGGCCACTAGATTGAATTTTCTATGTTCCTCATTTCCATCTTGTGACCATAATACACTGCAAATTTGATTTGCAGAGCTGTTGGCTTAGGCCTTGTTAACACCAAGCGCATTCCAGGGCAGTTAGTTTCTTTTTATTGATAAGTTGTTTCACCTTTGGATTCAGCCATGCAGGTTTAGCTTTTATTATTTTATTTTTATTGCCCAATGGTATGCACTGGCTATTGCTATTGTTTAGTATATCTATAAAGCAAGTCCACTTAACCTCATTGTTCTATGTTATAAATAGTTGCTCCCTATTGATAGCATGCATTAATGATTGCAGCTTGTTGAAGTTAGCTTTTTGAAGTTTAGTGTTCTTGTCAAATCAACCTCCCTTTCTTTTTTGTAACCTACTGTGAATGTGATTACCCTGTGATCGCTGTTACCCAAGTTTTCCTGAGATGCTATGTCTGCAACTAGCTCTGTGTTATTTGATATTATTAGATCTAATACTGCATTCATCCTAGTTGGGACTTCTACCATCTGTTCCATTAAACTATCCCTCAATAAGTTCAGGAAACAGCAAGCCTTGGTTGAGTGTGCAGTTCCTTTAGCCCCAATCAATGTCCGGATAATTGAAGTCCCCTATTATAATAACATTACTATTTTTCACGGCCAATTCAATCTGTGATAGGAGTGGAGTCTCCTCATCCACCTCTATGTTCAGGTGTCTATAGCATACCCCCACAATCCGTTTACTATTTACCTCTGCCTTTTTTAGTTCTAGCCACAAGGACCATCAAACTTTCCATCAGTGATTTCTTCACACATGTGCACTTGCAGATTGCTCTTCACATATATGCATACCCCTGTTCCCCTTCTAGCGACCCTGTCCCTCCAAAACAGATTGTCCCCATCTATGTTACCTGCCCAGTCATGCAAGCTGTCCAGCCATGTTTCTGTTATTCCCACAAAGTCAAAATCCTCCTTGAGTAAGAAAAGTTCAAGGTCCACCTGTTTGTTAGTTAGACTTCTAGCATTTGTATGCATACCCTTTTATCTACAGTTAGTGTTATGCAGTCCGTTATTGTAAATTTCTGAATCACAACTACCCTCCTCC